GACGCGAACCGATAGTTTTTGAAGGCTTTTAAAAAGGGGGTTTGGAACTTTTTAGGGGTTTTGCGATTTTACACTGCTAGCGATGATTTACAACATTGGAATGCATATTTGGAGCATATTTTGGAGGTCAGTTCTTCAAGGGATCTTTTATACAAACCTCTTATATTTTATTGGTATTGTAATTTATATCATTGGTAGCTATTTTCTCAAAGGTTATATTTTGTTTTGATGAACCTTTTTCAATAATTTTGGGATACATGTTTGATTTGTTATTGCATAATTAATTGAAGTTATTATTTTATTCAGTTGTACCTTATTCTAAATGATGTGAGATAATCTTTAAATCTGATTTTGGGCGCGTAAGGAATACTGACCATTAGTCTATGCATTGGACCTAGGGAAACTATTGTACTTACTCCAGTTGAATAAGAATAAGAGACCTCGATTAGTGGCTTAGAAATTAATGTTCTATTTCATTGTCTAATCTTGCTTACGCTGGTGGACTAGGGATAAAAAATTCCTAGTATAGATTAGTGAGCTATACACCAAGGGATTGGGTATAGCAGTTTTGTTAATTCGCCGTGAAATTATAGTAACAATATTAGTTATGCAATACATCGAACATCAACAGTAGATAAATAGGGGATTCTATAACAAAACCTAATCATTTTTGCATTATTGTCAGAATAAACTTTTACTATTTTTTGCATTAAAGCCCGAACCCCCTTTACTATTTTCTAAACAATGTATAATTATTGTCTTGTTAAATAGTAGTCCCTGTGAATTTGATCTTTTTATTACTTTGACATTATTAATACACTTGATAGCTATTCTGGTTTCAAAAAGGTATATCTTCTTAAATCAGTTTTGTAAGATAAATGTTGACAGAAAGAGCAAGTCAAAATGAAAAGCTTGAGAGACTTATGAATTGCAGTAGACTAATATAAATCATGTCATCATCTTAATGATGCATTTTGTTTGTTTACAAAAAAAAGCTTCTAATGGAGCATCGAGCATTTAAATAAACATGTGTTGAACCTACTTTGAATGTAGTGTGATTCAAATTTCTTTCTTCCATGGTTGTGTTGATTTGATTTTTCTGTATATTAAAGTTTTTAACATTGAATTAAGGTGTTCTTTTGATTGAATATAATTCCAAATGAATGTGCTCTTTTTGTTTGAATTTGTATCAGCATGTTGGTATTCTTTGTCATTTTTTTTTTTTGGGATTCTTTGTTTCTTTATACTTTTTTTGTTTAAATATCTTCCCTTACATGTTTCAATCTAGAACATAGTTGTTTCATGCAGGGAATTTGTACATTGACTCTTTCTGCATCAGTTCCGACATTGAAGCCTGAAATATGAGAGTGGGACATAGGTTGAAGAAATGGTACACAAATGGACCACCAAAAATTTGGCTTCTGGAGATATACTTTCTATTGTATTTAGGCGCTGTCAAAGTTGAGATTCAAGGTAGGCAAGAATAACACCAAAATTGATTAAGTGAAACTGGAGCCATGAATAGTTATTGTTGTTGCATGTTATAACTAGTCCCGCATTGGTTTTTACAATAAAAATAAAAGTGTTTATAAAGCAAACTCACAAATGGTTTTCAAATTGGAATATTGTTGAGAGTGCATGTGTTAAACTCCAAATATTTAAACAAAATATTTTCTATTCAATTTCGAAATATAAAAAAGTTAATGAAGTTATTTTAATTAATAAATATTCTATAAAAAAAACTAATAAAAATAATTAAAACAATATAATATATAAAAAATTAAAATTAAGAAATTTCACGTGCCATGTAAGTATAGTCAGCACAATAATGATAATAGGGTGTCTTGAAATGGAATCTAGGTTTTATAGGGGGATCACAAAAAATTTTTGTGAAATTAAAATTCGCTATAATGGCAAGGGGCAACATATATTTAACCTTTCATTTTAGATATGAATTTCCTTGAATTTGGCATGAGTAAACTCATTTTCGAATTACTTCTCAATAGTCGAGTTTGACCCACGTGGAATTATTATATCCATCGAGTTAACATTGGTTTTAAATTCCTTTTATGCCCGACTTCTAAGAGCATTATCATATTATTTCACAAACTGATTTAGACTTGTTTTAGAATTGATATATCCATCAAAGAAAGCATGTATGCTCTTACTATATTGCGTAGTTGACATACCAGCTCAAACATATTTCCTTAACAGGGTTGGTACCCACCTATGATGCTTAATATACAATCCACCCAACCAATCATTTTCTTGGAAATTAAATTTTTCTATGAACGTACACCATTTTGGTTCAAAACTAATTATTGTGAATGTATCATAGACTGCTTCTTTCATCACATACTTGATCCTTTTATATTCACCATATGCACAAATACTTTCTGGATTTTTTTCATAATATGCCATAAACACCACCTAGGACGAGTTGTAGGGAATACTAACTCAATAGAATTTTTCATAGCCTTACATTGATCGGTCATAATACTCAAACACTATGCCATATAAGGGAATAGACAAGGTTTTTTTTGCCATAGACAACGCTTATAAGCACTGCCTATTCCTGCGTTGCTGTAATCATAAACAACGTTTCTTGTCTATGTGAAAGTGATGCTTAATATAGACATTAGACAATACTTTATTGAATAAGTGCTTTCTAAGGGCCCATATATGCAATGCTTTTAACATTATAAGCGCTTTCTATAGTGTGCCTATAGAAGCATTTCACTTTAGACAGCACTTCAAAAAGCGTTGTCTAATGTATTTTTTCTTCTCTTTATTTATATTTTAGGCGACGCTTTATTTTGAAGTGCTTTTTAAAGTCCCCTTTAAGGCAGAGCTTGTTATTTTACAAGCGCTTTTTATTCCCCATCATAGGAAGCGCTTTTTGGTTTAAAGCGTTGTCTAATATTCACGAATTTTTTAATATATTCAGCTTATATTTTAAGCGTCCTGTACACATAATCACTTAAAATTTAAGCGTTGTCTTTCAAATTTGCACCAGATTTTATAAATTTGAAGTTTCAATCCAATAAATATGCACCAAATTTACATATTTATATATACAACTTTAATCCAACAATTTATATATATACATAAATGAGATACAACTTAAAGAATCAATAATTTATATATACATAAATTTAAATATGTACATATACAGCTTTATAAACCAATAAATATGCACCAAATATATATATATATATTTTTATCTTCTAGAGCTGCTATATTCTCTACTTTCTTCTCTACAAACAACAACAATGAAGAATCCTAAATGTAACAAAAACAAATCAAGTATCCGTTATAACCCAGCATTAAAAATTCTCCGATTCATACCGTGATACAAACAAAATTTTGTTTGAATTTAAATCCAATACCATCCTAACTAACCTTCCATATGACAACAACAACAACAATGCAACAATTTACCACACTATGACGACATAGTATCTCATCAAAACTCAAACTTATATATACTCATAATTCTCATCAATGAAAGTGTCACAATACCTTATAAAATTCTCATCTCAATAATGTATTGACATCAATCCTCCTTAATTTCGTCCAAATGATCTTTCGAATAAGTAGATGACTTGTATTCATCAAAGTACTACATAATATAACATAATATGATTTAGTTAAAACTAATTAATTAGATGAAATGTGTTAAATATATTAAAATAAATTTTAAGTTAGAAACTCATACCATGGTTGAAATCTCACTTTGATTCAAAAGAATAATTTCTTTCATAAACCTCAACATGAAATAACTGCAATCTATACCATTACGCTGACGAGCACACTACACATGAAAAATATGTATATATATATATATATATATATATATATATATATATATATATATATATATATATATATATATATATATATATATATATATATATATATATATATATAGTTTAACTTGTTTTATCAAGTAGCATCACTAATATAATCAAAAGTGTGAAAATATACACGCACTCTAATCCATGTAATGTTTGTTTCCTTACTCTTTGGTACTTGAATATCTCTTTGTGATCTAAAATTTGTGTAACCCTAACAAAATATAAACGAAGATTTAGAACAATCTAACTTACGTATCAACCATCTCCTTCATATTTGGGTATTTTATCCAATTGCATTCTAACGAATCCAAATAATATACAATTTCTCTTATTGGATTAATCGCAACCAACAACCAGAGTCCAATGTAAGATTAACAAAGGTTAGATGAAAACTTTCTACAAAATGTCAAAACACGAAAAATTATAATATATGAAGTTTGAATAAAAATCTTACCCATTGCCAGAATTAATGGAAAAAAACAATTTTTCCGTATCTTTATTGACCATAAATGTACAAACAAAATACTGTTTGACATCATCTGATCGTTGTTCAATTAATAATGCGTTGTATGTGTGAGATAGATGGTGAATTTTTAAATTATATGGAAAAAAATGCCAATATATAATTTATACACTTTGATGATTCTAGATATTAGGTTTTGCATTACCATCTATCTCACACATACAATTTATTTGTGCCTTACATTTATCATTTCATTTTTGAATTGGAAAAAATCAGTCCTAATCTTCTTTAACATTTTATACCTTACGATATTTATTTTAATCTTCTAATGAAAATTAAATATTTTAAAAAAAATTCTCTTTAAATACAATATTCTTTTATAAATAGAATATTATTCGTATGTAACTACCGAAAATATTAATACTCTCTTTTAATAGGTTCTCTGAGGATCATAATAATATGTATTCTAAAAACACATGTTAAAGATATTATAATTAAATTTTTTTAAATATAATTAAATATAATAAAATTATATTTAAAGTTTCAAAACATTAAATACACATTATTCAAGAGAATGTTTCTACAAATAATTTATTCAATAGTGTGTTTGGGACACATATTAGTTTTTTCCATTCAATAAAAACAAATCAAGTAAAAAACCCTAGGTGAAGAACCTCAAGATGGAAGAAGAAAACACTCAATGTAGCCGTAAACTAAACGGAGGCGGCTTACTTCACCGCCAATCATTGCCGGACGATCTCATCATTGAGATCCTTTTAAGGCTTCCGGTGAGATCTCTCCTGTTATTGAAGTGCGTGTGCAAATCATGGAAAACCCTAATATCAGATCTCCAATTTGCAAAGCAACACCTTCAGAGCTTAACCATGGATCCAAGCATAGCCAACCGACGATTTTTCTTTGGCCGGGGAGACGGTAAAATTGTATCTGTCCCTGTAAAGCCATTGTTGGAAAACCCATCAGAGCCTATTGAAGCGGTTGAGTTCAACATGGAACATAGCTTACGTGTTCTTGGTTCATGCAACGGGTTGGTGTGTCTGTTGGAAATCTATGAAGGTTATGTTAGATTGTGGAACCCTTCAACCAAATTCGAATCCAATAAATCTCCATCCCTTAATTTATTATTTGATCAATGGACAATAGCATATTACGGCTTCGGCTATGACCATGTTAATGACAAGTACAAATTGCTACTAGATGTACGAGTTGTCAGTAATATTGGTTATCAAAATGTGAGACTTTATACTTTTGGGGAAAATTCTTGGACAAGTATCCAGAATTTTCCTTGTCATCCCGCTAGATTCACAGGAAAACTTGTGAATGGAACTCTAAATTGGGTAATAGTTAGACGGGTTGGTGATTATATACAAACTAGGATTCTTTCCTTTGATCTTGTGAAGGAGACTTATACAGAAATATTACTGCCTCAAAATCAAAAACATGATCCTTGCATGAACCAGAGACCTAACATTGGTGTTTTGAATAACTGTCTTTGTGTGTCTTTTAACATTGGGACTCATTTGGTTCTGTGGTTGATGAAAGAATATGGAGTTGCTGAATCATGGACTAGACTAAAGATGATCCCTGCAGAGCATTTACAGAAACATGGAGAACAAGGGTCATATCGTGTCATTGAACCCTTGTTCATTTTTGAAAATAGTATTGTTCTGCTGAGAACAATCAGTGAATTTTTCTTGTATGACTTAAATAATGGTACGATGCATATTCTTTTGATTTCCAACCCGGTTAATATGAATCAGTTTCTCTACCTTGAGAGTCTTGTATCACTGCAACTGTAAACACTCATTTGTGGAATGGAGTCCTTCCAGTTTTGCTTACTCTCCTCTTATATCAATTTTGTTGCAGCTCTCTTTACAGTTTGGTATTTTGTATTTTAGTTTGCAATCGGCTAATGTTATTACTAAATACTGTTTTTAGACCTCTTAATACTTTTGTTATTCTTTGTATTTTTATCTTGTTTGATTTAGTATTTATATTTACTTTGTACACTAAATGATAGCTTTTTACAGTAGTGACTATCTTGCTATCCACTATACTATTATATCACTGTTCCTAAATGATATAACCAAAACAACAATATTACAATGCTTTTATTAACCAGATTCTCTTATTCATGTTAAGAAGCACGTGCTCTACCAACCAATTAGTAGACATTAAGAATAATTTGATGATGCCTCCAACCCAATATACTACCCGATGAAATATTATATTTGACATGTTTTGGTTTTTTTTTTTGGCTTACTTATTTTAGGCTGTTTGGGTAATTTTAGATAATGGTTTTAGATAATTTTTGTAGCGTTTGTAATGTTTAAATATTTTTATGGTTGTAATATTTTCTAAAATACTCTTGGATTTCTAGAACTAAAAACTCTTTAGAATTATGGTGTCTAGAATTCTTGTTAGAGTATTATGAATAGGCCAGATGTAATCCTACACTTTTGTATCAAGCAAAATACAAAGTTCTCTCTTCTATAAAGAATTATCCTACCTATCAAATTTTTATTAAAGCCTCTAATATTACTACACTATCCCTTAACACAAAAGTCTTATTTCCAACAAAGTGGTACTAGAGCTACACGGTCCTCAAAAGATAACGAATAGAAGTTTCCCTTTACAAATGTCGATGTTCACAAAGAATAATTATGACAATTAGAGTATCAAGATGAAGGCGCTACTAGGAGCTCAAGATGTGTGGTATATTGCTGAGAAAGGCTTCAACGAGCAAGATGAAGTCTCGCTAAGTCAAGTTGTAAAGGAGACGTTAAAGGAGTCAAGAAAGAGAGACAAGAAAGTTCTCTTCCTCATTTATCAATCGGTGAATGAAGATACATTGAGAGGATCTTCAATGCCACGACTGCCAAAGAAGCATGAGACAAGTTTGAAACTTGCAACCACCGAGTGGAGCAAAATAAAAAATTCGTGTCCAAACTCTTAGAGTTGACTTTAAACGTTTGTTTATGGAGGAGTTCGAGTCAATTTCTAATTATTTCCTCAAGTATTGGCCGTAGTCAACCAACTTAAAAGAAATGATGAAGATGTTTATGAGGTGAAAGTCATGGAGAAAATGATTCGCGTGCGTGATGGACTTGGATAAGTTGTATCGCGCGCACGATACAAGATACCACGTGCGCGACAGGCCTTATTCTTGGCACTTTTCTTACGCGAACTGATAGTTGTTGAAGGCTTTTAAAAAGGGGGTTTGGAACTTTTTAGGGGTTTTGCGATTTTACGCTGCAAGTGATGATTTACAACATTGGAATGCATATTTGGAGCACATTTGGAGGTCAGTTCTTCAAGGGATCTTTTATACAAACCTCTTATATTTTATTGGTATTGTAATTTATATTATTAGTAGCTATTTTCTCATAGGTTATATTTTGTTTTGATGAACCTTTTTCAATAATTTTGGGATACGTGTTTGATTTGTTATTGCATAATTAATTGAAGTTATTATTTTATTCAATTGTACCTTATTCTAAATGATTTTTATGTGAGATACTCTTTAAATATGATTTTGGGCGCATAAGGAATACTGACCATTAGTCTATGCATTGTACCTAGGGAAACTATTATGCTTACTCCAGTTGAATAAGAATAGGAGACCTCGATTAATGGCTTAGAAATTAATGTTCTATTTTATTGTCTAATTTTACTTACGCTGGTGGACTAGGGATAGAAAATTCCTAGTATAGATTAGTGATCTATACACCAAGGGATTGACTATAGCCGTTTTGTTAATTCGCCGTGAAATTATAGTAACAATATTAGTTATGCAATAAGTCGAACATCAACAGTAGATAAACAGGAGATTCTATAACAAAACCTAATCATTTTTGCATTATTATCAGAATAAACTTTTACTATTTTTTGCATTAAAGCCCGATCCCCCTTTACTATTTTCTAAACAATGCATAATTATTGTCTTGTTAAATAGTAGTTCCTGTGAATTTGATCTTTTTATTACTTTGACATTATCAGTACACTTGATAGCTATTTTGGTTTCAAAAAGGTATATCTTCCTAAATCAATTTTGTAATATAAATGTTGACAGAAAGAGCAAGTCAAAATGAAAAGCTTGAGAGACTTGTGAATTGCAGTAAACTAATATAAATCATGTCATCATCTTAATGATGCATTTTGTTTGTTTACAAAAAAAAGCTTCTAATAGAGCATCGAGCATTTGAATAAACATGTGTTGAACCTACTTTGAATGTAGTGTGATTCAAATTTCTTCCTTCCATGTTTGTGTAGATTTGATTCTACTGTATATTAAGTTTTTAACATTGAATTAAGGTGTTCTTTTGATTGAATATAATTCCAAATGAATATGTTCATTTTGTTTGAATTTGTATCAGCGTGTTGGTATTCTTTGTCATTATTATTTTTTGGCATTCTTTGCTTCTTTATACTTTTTTTGTTTAAATATCTTCCCTTACATGTTTCAATCTATAACATAGTTATTTTATGCAGGGAATGTGTACGTTGACTCTTTCTGCATCAGTTCCGACATTGAAGCCTGAAATATGAGAGTGAGACATGGGTTGAAGAAATGGTACACAAATGGACCACCAAAAATTTGGCTTCTGGAGATATACTTTCCATTGTATTTAGGCCCTGTCAAAGTTGAGATTTAAGGTAGGCAAGAATAACACCAGAAATGATTAAGTGAAACTGGAGCCATGAATAGTTATTGTTGTTGCATGTTATAACTAGTCCCACATTGGTTTTTACAATAAAAATAAAAGTTTTTATAAAGCAAACTCACAAACGGGTTTTCAAATTGGAATATTGTTGAGAGTGCATGTGTTAAACTCCAAATATTTAAACAAAATATTTTTTATTCAATTTCAAAATATAAAAAAGTTAATGAAGTTATTTTAATTAATAAATATTCTGTAAAAAAAACTAATAAAAATAATTAAAAAAATATAATATATAAAAGATTAAAATTAAGAAATTTCACGTGCAATGTAAGTATAGTCAGCACAATAATGATAATAGGGTGTCTTGAAATGGAATCTAGGTTTTATAGGGGGATCACAAAAAATTTTTGTATAAGGGTGAAATCAAAACTCGTTATAATGGCAAGGGACAACATATATTTAACCTTTCATTTTAGATCTGAATTTCCTTGAATTTGGCATGAGTAAACTCATTTTCGAATTACTTCTCAATAGTCGAGTTTGACCCACGTGGAATTATTATATCCATCGAGTTAACATTGGTTTTAAATTCCTTTTATGCCCGACTTCTAAGAGCATTATCATACTATTTCACAAACTGATTTAGACTTGTTTTAGAATTGATATATCCATCAAAGAAAGCATGTATGCTCTTACTATATTGCGTAGTTGACATACCAGCTCAAACATATTTCCTTAACAGGGTTGGTACCCACCTATGATGCTTAATATACAATCCACCCAACCAATCATTTTCTTGGAAATTAAATTTTTCTATGAACGTACACCATTTTGGTTCAAAACTAATTGTTGTGAATGTATCATAGACTGCTTCTTTCATCACATACTTGATCCTTTTATATTCACCATATGCACAAATACTTTCTGGATTTTTTTCATAATATGCCATAAACACCACCTAGGACGAGTTGTAGGGAATACTAACTCAATAGAATTTTTCATAGCCTTACATTGATCGGTCATAATACCCAAACACTACACCATATAAGGGAATAGACAAGATTTTTTTTGCCATAGATAACGCTTATAAGCACTGCCTATTCCTGCGTTGCTGTAATCATAAACAACGTTTCTTGTCTATGTGAAAGCGATGCTTAATATAGACATTAGACAATACTTTATTGAATAAGTGCTTTCAAAGGGCCCCTATATGCAGTGCTTTTAACATTATAAGCGCTTTCTATAGTGTGCCTATAGAAGCGTTTCACTTTAGACAGCACTTCAAAAAGCGTTGTCTAATGTATTTTTTCTTCTCTTTATTTATATTTTAGGCGACGCTTTATTTTGAAGTGCTTTTTAAAGTCCCCTTTAAGGCAGAGCTTGTTATTTTACAAGCGCTTTTTATTCCCCATCATAGGAAGCGCTTTTTGGTTTAAAGCGTTGTCTAATATTCACGAATTTTTTAATATATTCAGCTTATATTTTAAGCGTCCTGTACACATAATCACTTAAAATTTAAGCGTTGTCTTTCAAATTTGCACCAGATTTTATAAATTTGAAGTTTCAATCCAATAAATATGCACCAAATTTACATATTTATATATACAACTTTAATCCAACAATTTATATATATACATAAATGAGATACAACTTAAAGAATCAATAATTTATATATACATAAATTTAAATATGTACATATACAGCTTTATAAACCAATATATATATATATATATATATATATATATATATATATATATATATATATATATATATATATATATATATATATATATATATATATATATATATATATATATATATATATATATATATATATATATATCTTCTAGAGCTGCTATATTCTCTACTTTCTTCTCTACAAACAACAACAATGAAGAATCTTAAATGTAACAAAAACAAATCAAGAATCCGTTATAATCCACCATTAAAAATTCCCCGATTCATACCGTGATACAAACAAAATTTTGTTTGAATTTAAATCCAATATCATCCTAACTAACCTTCCATATGACAACAACAACAACATTGCAACAATTTACCACACTATGACGACATAGTATCTCATCAAAACTCAAACTTATATATACTCAAAATTCTCATCAATGAAAGTGTCA